GGCCTGGGCCTGTGCTGGAGGCTTGGAGCCAGCTGGAACTGGCTCTATCGGACATGGGGACAGCTTCTGGCAGCTTCTCGCAGAAGCCACCCCTGTAGCCCCCTCCTCTGCTACCAAAACTTTGCCACATAAACCCAATACGGTACTCAGCTGGGACCTTACAGTTTTAAGTCTTGCCTATATTCATTAGATTTATTTTTATAGAAATGCACAAGGAAGGCAAGTACTAACAAGTGAAATATCTCCCACCAGTGCTTGGTTGCAAAGCATATTCTGTTTTTGTGTTTTCCAGCTCGGTGTTTCACTTGGCACTTTGGGGGCTATACCAGCAGCAGCATTGGACCCTAACATTACAGGACTGGGAGAAATACCACAGCCACCAATTATGGGGAATGTGGACCCATCCAAAATTGATGAAATTAGAAGAACAGTCTACGTTGGAAACTTGAATTCACAGGTTGCTTTTCTTTTTTGTTGTTGGCAATACTAATGGAAGATGCAGAATTATAATTTATGAATTATAATCTTACATGTTAAGAGTTTTCATTATGCCAATAGGAATTTAAACAAACAAAACAAATACTCTTTTTGGTTACTAGTGATATTTCAAATTCTGAATGCTCCTTTGCCAATCAGATCAGACCAGACCGTGGAATTCATTCTAGCAGGATACCAGAGAAATCATACTGTAGCTGAATTCAAGAAACATACTTATGATTGTGTGTGTTGATCAAATGGCCAGCTGGGTTGTGTTAGCTGAACAATGCCTCAGAAGTCATGAGATCATGGTAGCTGTCCCCCACAACGCTGTGCAATTGCTTAAGTACAATAAGAAGGAATGATTTGTCTTAATGGAAGTTGCAAAATTAGCATAAACACCTTTGAGTTTCTCTGACAGGAAAGTTAGGTCTGTCAGAAATTTGTTTTTTCAGCAACTGATTGAATTAATTGAAAAACAGTTTGGTTTTGACTGATGGCAATAAAAGTATTTGATTTGAGGTTTTTTTGACTGCCAAAGTAGCTACTAGAGTGTAAAAGTACTATTGATCGCAATAAAATAAAACAAGCTGGAAGCTAGTAGAAAACCAGATAAAAGCAAAGTCTTGTAATACTATTTGGATTTTTTTTTAATCGATCAAAATTCACAATCAATAGCTTGGACATAGGTGTATAAGGAAATTCCTCATCAGTTATTTCAAATGAGTTGCTTGAAAAGTGTAAAATCCTGTGCAAGTGGTTTTTTTTAACCTAGATGTAGGACTTCAGGGCTTGTGGTTGCACTATTTTAAATTGTAGTATATTCTTTAGATTAATGGAAGAAAAAATACCTTTCTCTCTTAAAGTGTAACATTACCAAATTCATGTTGCCTGTGTAATAATGGTGAGATGTCTTTCCAAAATCTGTAGCTCTTCAATTACCTGATATGTTGGATAAGTGGTTTTCATTACATATTTTACTTCAGCTGAGCTCTTCGATTCTTTCTAGACTACAACAGCAGATCAGCTGCTTGAATTCTTTAAGCAAGTTGGAGAAGTCAAATTTGTGCGAATGGCAGGTGATGAGACACAACCAACACGATTTGCTTTTGTGGAATTTGCGGACCAAAATTCTGTACCTCGAGCTCTTGCCTTTAATGGAGTTATGTTTGGAGACAGGCCACTGAAGTAAGAAATTAATTATCCATATGAATATTGAATGAGAGATTTCTTAGTATCCTTATACATTTATGACTCTGATGTGCAGGAAACTGCTGTGATGAATATTTTTTCAGTATAAGGACTTATTGTTAGTAAACTGGAACACTTTAACGATCTCCAATTTCAAGGTTGGGCATAACTTTCTCCAAGAAGAATATGGATGGCATTGAGTAAAATATTTCTGCATCTATTCTTGAGGTAGTGAAAGCCATTACAGTGAGAATCTGCAAAGTCCTTGGTTCTAATTAAGCTTTATATATGATGTGTATGTAATTAGTAGGCCTTAATGTAGAGATTTGATCTGAAATAGAGAAACAGATTTCTAGACTTCTACTAGAAAATATTTTTAACACAGAAATATTGTGCCACATTTATTTAAAAGTGGTAAGATTTGAAAGCAATAAGACACATTTCAGATACTTAGAACAGATGAGTGTTAGGAAAAATCTGTAGTTTTGTTGAACTTTGAAGCTTTTAGTCATGCGTGGAAGTTGAGGTGTTTTCTTATTTGTTTTTCATTTTCCCTTTTCAAGTGTTTGGGAGTTAAAGGTTTTATTTTTCCTTAATTTAGAATAAATCACTCCAATAATGCAATAGTGAAGCCTCCTGAAATGACACCGCAAGCTGCTGCCAAGGAACTGGAAGAAGTGATGAAGAGAGTAAGGGAAGCCCAGTCTTTCATATCTGCTGCTATTGAGCCAGGTAGGTATATTCTCTTCATTACCTAACAGACATGATCTGTGTATACCTTGGCACATGCTTTTAGGAGCACTTTCAAACGCAGGAAAAGGGTACTCAAAGGTGAACAACATGTGTGTGGGAAAACAAAATAAAGTAAACAAAATTGTCTTCATGCAACAAAGCAGTGGAATGAAGCTGACTTTTTATTTCATCATATCTTATTTTCAGATACATGCTCACTGAATGTTTTAAAAAATACGAAATCAATACTAAATTAATACTTAATGTTGGTGCTTTTAATGTTCAAAGTACTTACAAACTTAAAAAAAGCTTTATATTTGTTTTGTTCTCTAGCACCCATTAATGCCATAGTTTCATGATCAGAGGGAGCTAGCATGCTGCTGAAAGCAGCAATGTTATGGTTTCCTTCAGCAGGTTAATTTTGTCACTGTGCTATGCTCTTTTTTCATGCTGGCTCAAGACTATGTGCATCCTCATAGCAAATGGGATCAGAGAATGAATCTGGGATAAAATTTAACATATTGTAATGGACTTTTTTTTCATCCAGATTGGTTCCCTGATCCCTGTTAACACTGAAATGCCAGGTCAAGGAGGAAGGTGTTGGTGGGTTGAGTGGTTAGACAGGCATTTCAGTGCTGACTTATGCTGACTTAAACTGATTGCAAAACCACAGCATAAAAAATTCTCAACTTGTTAAACTTTCAGCTGAAATCCTCCTTTTTCTTTTCATCAGCAAGACAGCAAGACTTTGTCATTCTTCTTACTAAGAAACCCAGACGTTGACTTATGTAGCTTAGATAGTGGAGGGTCTTGAGGTTTTATTGGGGGGG